CATATAAGCCGGTCCCATCGAAATATGATACAGTAGGTTATCAACAGAAGCGAACTGGCAAGTCCCAGGAAGCAGTTCATAAGATGGAGATGCGAGCGCTGGACCAAGAAGTTTATTGGCCAGACGTTTCGGATTCTCACTCAAACCCATCATCAGAGGCAGTTGCAGATAAAGGTAGTGGAAGCAAAAAGACTGCAGGATTTATAGTACGAAATGGCCGCATGGGTACTATAATTAACAGCCTTCGCAATCACCACTGGGAGTCGTAATTGAAGCGATGAGGGCTCGTCAGTTGAGGTCCGAGTTGCTAATTGCTGCAATTTAATCATACGTGTTGGATGATGGCGTGCAGATTACTCGGCAATTCGGCCCGGGATTGTTGCTCGCCCACACCCTTCCCACGTGACTGATTCCTCCGTTCCGGGAATGTCTCAGCACCGAATATGGTACCCGGAGGTCATTGCGCTTGTTGTTGAAGTGCAGACCTGAGAGCCATGATAGAAGTAGCTTGAGGTTTACGCGGTTGTCAGCTCTTGCAAGGATTTTGGGCTATTGAAACTAGAAAATATGGCCGGGTTCCCCAGAATAAGCCGCCACCCGAGTGCTAGCTTCTTTCCTCCTCACCGCTGCTGCGTACTCACCCATCCGCGTATGGAGTTATCTCTCAGTTTCTCCGACGTAGTTGCTCTATCCGTAATTGCACCAGATGTGGTAAACGACTCCAGACGTCTCCTGCCGTGGCAGCGGGTCTTTATCTACAACTGTCTCTGATGACGGATTCGACTGGGAATCCGAAACGTCAGGACAATAAACTTCTTGTCCCAGCGATCGCATCTCCTACTTCTGAACATTAGGTTATGCAAACTGGTTGGACAAGTAATTGTATTGTAGCGTTCGACAGCTTTTGTCATTCGAAACCTGTTGAGGAAAGCTCACCAGCTCCTCCTCTCACCTTCTTTTCAAGAATCAATTCGCACAGCCCACGGTGACAGATCTGCCCCCGCACTCCAATGCTCAAACACTTCACTCTTTGAGAGCTAACAGCAGTTTAAGTATGCCACACCCGCAGAGGACTACGATTACCATCTTGATGCGCCACTCAAGTTAGCCTGCTTTAGCTATTTTTGAAGACCATAAATCTTTTTGCGAATTCTCTCTACTCATCTACATCTTCATCGACTCCGAACTGCCACAGCCCAACACCTAAGCGTGTGTATCTCCGAAAAACATTTACTGAAACCTTTACACACTGGTTCATTCTTTTAAGGACCGACGAAAGGAAACTTGCTGAGAAGAAGCAGATCTCCATGTCTGGAGCATAAACTAGGATGTTAGGAGTTTTTTTTTAAACACACCTACTATAGGACCCTGTTGGACGGCCTATTTGCGTCCCTTACTGGTTCTGACTTAATCCCTCAGCTACAATTGAGCGAACTTTCCTGTTTGCATGAATACTCCTACATGGTCGCAACTCATGAGGCCCATCGATATTCCGTGAATTCTCCACAATGGCCCCTATGGTCATGTAAAGAAGGAGTCTTGAGTAGGATATAAGTAGGAAATAGGTGGTTAGACAAGGGTCTGTAGATCCTACGCATCAGATGCGACTTGGCGCTAAATTCCAGGCGGCTGGGTTTAGGGTCATTTGACTATATGCCTCGACTTAATAATTTCTGAAATTCCTATCCTAGTCGGTCTGGCGGTTCTTGTACTTCCTCCCCGAGTAAACTCGCCGTCAGGCTATCTCTGTACGGCCTTCTTAAGTCTGGCGTGGTTGTTTGGTCCTGAGCTCTACGATTGTGGTTACGTAGGCCTTTGTAAAAAAAAGATGAACACACGATCTCTGGGACAGTAGGTGTACTAGTCCGAGCTTTCGGCCAGCGTCAGAGACTGTGAGAATGCGACGTCAAATGAGCAGTTTTTGTAGTCAAGCCATGAAGGGGGGGGGGAGGAGAGATGAGTGCAGAGGGTGGTATCCGCGATAAGCTGAGCCCCACGCCGTCTCACGGTGGCGTGACTGCGTGCACCCTTGGTCGGAAACTGGGTCTCGCCTCTTGGCCGCGGGAACGGAGCGCGTGGTAGCAGGGGGGTGTGTTGACGTGCCTGTTGATGGAGTTGGTGTCACACACCCAGGCCTCCAACAGTTCTCGCCCTGTCTTATTGCTGGCCCGCGCTACTATCCTCTTGCTCGCAAAGTTGAATTCATGGCCTTCCTCCAGGGTGTGAGTGGTGACCTGAGACAACGGGTCGCCTCTCCGGACCGTCCGCTTGTGTTCCGTTATTCGTGAGTTAAGTCGTCGTCCGGTCTGCCCTGTGTAGTGGTGAGGGCAATCTCGGCGTGGGATCTGATAGACGACACCCGATTGTTCTCCCACGTCTAGGCGATGCTTCATTCGCATGATTTTGTTGCGCATGGTCGCTGTCGGACGGTGAGCGATACCCACGCCGAGCTATCCAGCGATACGTTCCATCGCTTCGGACACGATCTTTATATATGGTAGAGGGTGCCAGGATGTTGGTGGCCCTCCTCTGTTTGTTCGCCGTGGGTGCGTGCGAAGGCAGCGGTTGACGAAGCTGTTCGGGTATGCATTCCTTGCCAGTTGGTCCCAAAGATGCCGAGGTTCTCGTACTCGTCCCTCTGCCTCACTGCAGTGCGTTTTTACCCTTTGGAAGAGTGTCCTAACACAGCTGCGTTTATGCGCCATTGGGTGGTTACTGTGGTAGTTAAGAATCTGAGTCGTGTTAGTCGTCTTTCTGTACACCGTGGTGTTGAGTAGGACTTTGTAAGCTGCAGGAAGGTTCAGATGCCTGTTGATAGAGTGAGCATCGGAGAACCACGCCTCAAAAGTTAGCCGTTCTGTTTTTGTGTTTCCCCGGCCTAAGATGATGGTTCTCTGGAGATCAAAAGTATGCCCAGTTTCTCCAGCGTGCGTTGCCAGTTGGGAGTTAGGGTCTAACCTCCGAGTGGCCGATTTTTACTCTTGTGGGCCAGTTTGCAATTTCCACCCGATTTCTCTCACATAGTTGCAGTCGTCCTCATTGCTATTTATTTTTTTATATTACTGCTGAGGTTTCAGCGGGTGGCAATGGGTCTTTAGGTTGCATCAGGCGACGTCGAATTTTTGCCTGGGGTCAATGAGCTATGCCTACTCTGGTGGGTTGTAACAGTCGCGAGACCGCTTCAAAGCTCACTTTAATGTAAGAAATGGCGCTCCAGACTTCGGGTTGCTGCTCATTTGGCCGTCGTCTGTGCGCCCGACGTTTGCTTCTCTGAATGAAATGTCTGGGATAACCATTGGCTGTAAATAGGTTCACAAGGTACAATCTTTCTGCTCTTTTATCTTCTGGCGTGCTGCAGTGTGCTTCGACTCTTTGAAATAGAGTGCGGACACAACTAAGTTTGTGAAACAGACGATGGTTGCTATTGAAGTGTAGGATCTGCCTCTTATCGCAGGATTTTCGTCAGCATTTTAATAAGCCTGTTCCGGAGAGCCCATTTTCGTCTTCTTCCTCTTCAAATAATCAACCAGAATCTCTCAATTTTGCCGGTCTGAACAGTTTGGGCTACGCTTAGAGCTAGGAGGGTTAGAGTTAAGGTCATGAGAGTTAGGATCACTCAGGGCATGTGAAAACTTTCATTACAGAACGGTCGATATTACAGCGCTCGACCAGACTGATTTTGTCATAGACAGCAAGTACTTAAAGGTGCAGTCTATTTGAATTTGGTGGCTGTTTACGGCTGTGAGTGACCAGCATTTTTCACATTATACAATTCACTCAGTTAGTATGGCTGATAGTTTGGTAACTGTCGACAATGAGCTACGTACAGTTTCTGATATGGTCATTGCAGGATCTATCGATATGTATACTGGGGATTGAGTCATTATGAACTTCAATCAAAGAATGCTTCACTCATGCCAAATGCTTCAGCAAAGTTGCCCTTAGCACTGAGAAGAAGTGACCGAGGTATGCGTTTAAATTACAGGCCCAATTGAATTATTATGGTTTCGAAATACATTTGGATGTTTATGTTGAGGAAGTCATTTGAAGTGGATTGACATGACACTTTCTTCGCTCCATTATGTCGCATGTGTGCTTATGCGTCGTAATTTCTCTGGGGAATAAAAGAGGAAATTTAGCTAGTGAAGATGAGGTGTTTTGCGAAACGATTAGCCACTGGCCAAATTGCTTTGGCTCAAACTGCCAAAGAGAGCTTGTTACCGCGGAACAGCCATGAGGGTCATAATTGGACGTCAGTATTAATACTGAAAATACTTTGACTTTATATTTCCACTTAAGGGCCACATGCGCCTCTAAATATTAACACTATCAGAAATGTTGACTGATTGTTTTGAGATGGGGGGGGGGGCGAATGCAAAGGGATTTTCGGTGAAGACGGTTTTTGCCCATCTGACGCTTCACACTCTTATCAGGAGAAAAATGGAAATACGTGGTTCTTCCTGACCCTTGATGGTCCCATCGTCCTATCCGATGATGCGCCCACGTATGAGTATGAAGCGACAGATAATTGAACCGTCCTTATTAGAGAGCTCCTCGCTTTCTCTCTACATATGTACACATATTGACGATTTTTTATTAGGAATGCTGAACGAGACGCGCTTCACTAAAACTGAATGCTTCAGCAGTACTGAGAGGAAAACTAAGCCATTCACACAAAAACTGAGGGTACAAGTCATCACATCTTGTGAACGTCTCTTCAGTCCTCTACGGCTTTGAAGTGGATTATTTGAGTAGCACACGTCACATGCTAAAGGGAAAGCCAACCAATTGGCTGCCCCTTGAATAGCCCACTTGGATATTTAAGCACCTGGAACAGGAGACTCCATATGTTACAGAAACCACTGGCCTTGTACTGTTTGAGGTGAGTTAGGGATTTCTGCACCCCAGCAGACAGTCAACCCAAAGTAACGGAAGCAGTCGTATACTTTGTCTATTTTACACTAATTTCACTCTCAGTTTTAGGACGACTGCCCGCAGCGATGAAAAGTTTCCTGTTCTGTGCCCTACTCATCCTCTCAGTTATGCTCTCTGGTATGTCTTAGACCACGTCTAACATCGATCACTCTTCAAATGTTCTTAAACGAATAACATTTATTTTACTTATAGCGTCCGCTCAGGATGCAGGTACAGCCAGCAGTGAAACCCCGGGATCTAGCAGTTCATCTGCACAGCCTACCAACGCTCCATCCTCGGATGCATCCTCACAGTCCGGTGCTTCCAGCGAGTCGACGGAAGCTACTACCACTTCCAGTGTCTCAGCATTATCCATGGCGCTATCCTGCTCTGCGCCGCTAATGCTTGCCGTCTTTGCAAAGCTGTAAGAACGCGTAAGGCAAGATGGCATCTTCGGACATACAATGACAAATAAACATGATCTTCTGAGTACTTTTCCTTTGTTACCTTGGCTGGCACGATAGTGGTTGTAGGGGCAGCTAGGATCCTTTGTTTATGTCCGTTTGAGGTTTTTGTGTATTTGAAGGTTACGGAAGACGATATTTCTGTGTGGAACTCTCTTAATGTTAATATACTGACTGGTAGTAGATATTATGACAGAAGCCGTTGCACGACTTGTGAAATCATCGTCTACTTAGGGCATGCTCACATATATGACACGTTTAACATGTCGCCGGCGACTTGTCGAACGAAGGTAAGCGAGGAATGGCACATATTGTTCCGTGATTATTAAATCGTCATTTTTTTATCTGAACGCAGTAAAAATTATTCTGCAGATATTTGTTCTGTGCTCTACCTTGGTCGTAGTCTGTAAGTAGTACTGGTGAACACTTCTACTCATTCAAGGAACCGGAAAATGTGCCTTGTATGTAGATAGCAATGTAAGTAGTGCGATCGGATAACATAGCTGATAAAGACGACTATCAGCTATCTCACCGGAATGAGCAAATATTAATAGTACTATGAACAGTAAGGTATATGTCGCATAGGTGCGCTTCCACTTTGTGGACACCTGAAAATGCCTCATGACTGCAGTGCCGAGGGACTGTCGCAAACCAATCCCTTCGATGACCGATCAAACACTGGCTCTACGGAAGCGGCTTAGATCAGCAAGACTTCGTCTGTCGGACACGGCCAGCGAGTTTCCAGGGCCCAGTTCTTCCATGAAAGTCACCGTCAGCCACAGTATTTCTTGTTTATCTACGGCATGATGACAATTTTCAACAAACAACATCAAATATACGTGTTCTATATAGCGCTGTTGAGTTGTTGTGTTAGGTTCTGTATAAAAATGGCATAAGAATGCGGCCAGACAACTGGGGTCAACATACGTGCTGCTATCGACGTTCAGTTTGTCAATTTCCTGAATGAGAGTGGTGGGAATGATCTTGATTTTCTAAAGGTAGTCCTAAATCCAAAAAGAATTCCAGTTGGTGAATATACGTTGCTCGGCATCGTTCTTCTGAAACGCGTTCAACTCACCGATAGACGTTTTTCGGAGGATGGTAGATATGATTGGGCGCATAGGATTTCATGCCTATTAAATCGCAATAGCCAGCTTGCTGGTGGATGTAGATGTAGGCAATACATATCGTCAGGATAGGTGATGCCATGGGCATCCGTGGTTTGCCCGGCCTTTCGGGCTTCCCATGTAATTTCGCTTTCAATTCGTAATAATAAATTGCTTTTATTGTCGTTGATTGAATGTGCAGCCCAACCGAGATAATAGAACGCAGAGACTCCTGTACTGCGGCAAGGATATCAACATAAGTTTTATCAGTATGAGCGCATGAACGCGGCAATTGACGAAAACTGCGAAAGCCAATGAGAAAACTGGCATTTCTGCCACATTTTTGTTAGATTACACCAAAGGAGTGCCAGAACAAACCACGTTATTTGAAAGGTGCAAGTTAAGAGCGCGTAGACGGGTGGAAGGTAAGTAGTCGAGGGTCATTGGTTCAAGAAGGCCGAACTGGGTAAGACGATGTGGGGTGAACATACGCAATCCCAGTCATACCATGAACACTAACCCACGAATTCGACCCTTTGCCTAATCCGTATCTTTAACCTTACCCCAATCTTTAAAAACACTAATCGTAACACTAAACGTAGTCTTTTTTGTAAGTTATGGCAACAATCTCCATCTTTACTTTATCGGAGCCACATAAATAAAGCAGGCATACATGGCATGGGAATAAAACCTGAAAGCCTCGTATTAAATCATCTAAATTTTACTTAAAGCGGACTTCTGTCCGCTTAAGAAACTGAAGTATGTGACTTATACTAAGTGGTGACCAGCGACTCGATTTGTTTACGCAAATGATGACAAATAAAGACTGTCGACGGTTATGGTGAGAGCAGGAGATATTTATAGTAATATTAGGAATAGAATACACATCGCACTTCATACCTGTCCAATTCGTTTTCACTCCAATGTGCCACATGACAGAATAATACCGGGACGACGGCGGACGGCCGATCAAATGAAGGCATCAAGTAAGTGCCTTATGCCGTAAAAACCCCGCTCGGAGTGCACTGTGTTTGAACTCATATCATTTACTGTATGCAACGACGTCGAAAATGAAGTTCTGACCATTGACAGGTCCTGCGTAATCGATGGAGACCCCGAATCGCTGGGCTTCTGAACAGACCATGTCTTCAATGTGGTTTTCGTCGACACCTTTGATACGAGGGCGCCTTTTTTGCCTGAGCGGAACAGCTGTTCCGATTGTTGGTCCACGTGAACCCAGTACACATATTTGCGAGCGAGAGTCCTCATGCAATTGTGTCTTGCACGCCCGGTGTGAAACGGCCTAAAACACTAGCTTTCAGTTTTTGTGGAACAATGACGCGTCTGAAGAACCGGACGCGCTGGTCTGTCATACATGTTTATGTATATATGCTCTTTACGTGGAGCATATTCACACAATGATGGTTCATAGGGTTGCTCTATGTCCAAAATTTTTTGGAATGTTTCGTCAAAGAGCTGGTTGAACTTTCATTCCCAGGCAACCTGTAAATTCGAAACACGATGTTCGTATTAGCGCAGTGAAGTAATTCGAAGAACTAGCGATACAGCGTTAAATAACTTGGGACACATTTTCTTCACTATGTTAAACATAAACGATTGTTTGCCAGTCTTTCATTGGCGGAACAACCTCTAGACGACCGACTTGAAATTGCACACATCTAACAATCGAAAACGCTCAGCACAATGATTTCCAACTAATCAGATCCATCGGTGATTGCTGTCTTAGCCATAATAGTTAAGACGGTTGTTTAGCAGTGACTAAAACCATAACATCAAGCTCACAAGTGACTCCTAAAACAGACAGGCAATAACGCTGGCAGTTTATCGCCGTCTTTAGCCTGAGCCTTGGAAGCCTGAATTATCGGAGCCGTGGACAATTGTCCTACAATAGATTGAATAAATCATATGCTTGATTTAATTCATATCCCATTATTACATAAGCTGATCACCGAAGAATGTTCTTTTTACTCTACAGAGCAACCACCACGTGCGTGAACTTTAAGTTAGGAAGTTGATTCCCACAGTTAGCATCGGACAAGAAATTGATTTTGAAGTCCAGCGACCTTTGTATACTAAACCCCTATAGATTTATTTACTCCGATTTCAAAAACCACTCGCATGCGCAACCGAAATCCAGAAAAGTTATTAACATAGGAAATTGACTGAGTGTCACGCGACGTCCATTTTCGCCCAAATTTATGAACATTTTGTTTGAAAAAAATAAATAAACACAATTCATGTACAAGACGAGGATACTTCTTCGAAGAGGCTGGGCTGGCAAGCAAAATGCTCAACATTTAAGACGACCTAAATTCTCACAGCAGATTTTGTGATCAGGATTCATGAGATAGGTCATGTACTGTATACATGTACTCTTTACGTGGAAATTTCCAGCTGCAATTATAATCACTACGAGCATTTTCACATAATGATGGCTCATATGTGTGTTCAACTTCCTTCGGAGAGCATCGCCGAAGATCTGGTTGGACTTAAGTTTTGTTCTCAGACAACCTGTAAATTCGAGGTGCGAAGTTCGGATTAGCAAAATGAAGTGATCCGGAGGACTGACAATATAGTAATGAATAACTCGAGACACTATACTTCCCTATGTCAAACTTAAATGAACACTTTTCAGTTTTTTTATTGACTTCCACACGTAATTGGCAAAACAGCCTCTAGGCAGCTGACTTGAAATTGCAGACGTTCAACAGTCAGATTCGTCCAGTGTCGGAATTCCCGACTAATCAGACCACCAAGTGACTAAATACTTCTGTCCCAATCCCTATGGCGATTTCCGTCTGAACCATAATATTTAAGACAGTCGTGTAGTACTGAGCAAAATAAATTGCGCATTGCATTTTATCGCTGTCTTCAGCCCAAGCTGTGGAAGCCTACATTATCAGGACTTTTCACAATGTTCCTACGAATAAATCACGTGCGTGATACGATTCATATCGTATTTTCACAGAAGATAATCGTGGCAAAATATTCTTTTTACTCTCCGCAGCAACTGTCATGCTCGTGTACCTATGTGTTCCTCATTAACGACACATGGGGGATTTAAAATCCCGGCTAATATTCCAAACGTAACGATCTGCTTCTATTTAATAAGTTCTCTCTGGTCAGTCAGTTACTCTTACACAGCCGAAGTCAATCAACACGAATTCGGTAAAAATTCTCCAGCAAAATACAATCCTCATTTCTCACCCCCCAGCACTCCAATTCGCAAGAGCCACAGTGAGGACCGCATGGATTTGATTTATAGCCTTCAAAAATAACTTCGGCAGACTGACTGGAGTGGTGCGTCAGGATGGCTGGTAGAGTCTTCGATTGGCGGGACATCATATACGCACTCCCAGGTCTCAACAGTTGAAGTGTTAGCGCGCATTGGAGAGTGGGGCCAGATCTGTCACCGTGTGCTGTGCGAACTGTTTTTTGAAACGAATGTGAGAGTAGGAGGAGAAGGAGGATGTGGTGAGCTTTTTTCAACAGGTTTCGAATGCCACAAGCTGGTGAGCGCAAGAGCACAAACACTTACTTTACCAGCTCACATAACCAGCTCAGACATCTCCAAGCATTAGCACCCGGAATATCTTGACTGTATTCGCAATTAGGTAAGAGCATGGCTTATGACCGGGATTACATACTCCGGGGAGAAATGGTGTCGAAAGAGAGTGACCGGCGATATTTATTTGTACGTGACAGAGAAGGGGATCAAAAGGCCTCACAGTGGCTGTTGCGTGAGGGTGGTCAAGATACTTTAAGGTAGTCATCAGAGTACAGTGAATGACCGATCTCATGAAATGTTGGCTAAAATTCTGAAATGCGTTTTCGATT